GTCCCGGACTGTGTGTGTAGGATTTTGTGATATGATATATATATATAGATATATAGACGATGACATGAAACAGCTCTTCTATATAGATACATATATATATATATATTCATACACTCAATATACTATATACTCATACTCAATATACTATATACTCATACTCAATATACTATATACTAATACTCAATATACTATATACTAATACTCAAACACTATATACTGTATACACTCAATTAATTTCCATTCAGACCAGCACTCTTTCTGCAGCAGAGTTTTATAGTTACCAATTACTACAGGAAAGAGAACAGCGCCACAACTCAAACTGACAGGTAGTTTTTGAGGAAAGGAATGTTTAAAGAAAATATCCAGAACACTACAACCGAATGTGACGTTTTAATAACAAAATACCTAACTCAAAAGACATTCAAGCAATATTATTTGTACAAGTCCGCAGACACTCACATAATGTAGCATTCAACACACACATCTACCTGTAAATGTTACCCATTAATATGTTTCTCAAAGAAAGCATTCACTTTTCCTCTGACTAACAACAAGGTAAACATCATCTTACAACGGTTTTAAGGCTCAATGAATGGTCTCTGTGTGAGGACAAGGTGTATGTTTGCTTTGTAACGTGCAAGTAACAGGCCAGTTCTTGGTTTAGAGATGAGGCTGCCAAAGAGCCTGCTGTCTGGACTGAGTTTACAGAAGAGGATGTCTCCTTCTGCCCTGGCGAATGCACTTCTGCAATCTAAGCCTCTGTGTGTCCGAGTGGTTTGGGTTTAAGAAGGTGGCAAGCTGCCTATCAGAGATAGAGGAGGAGAGCAGACTGGGATGGGGCGGGCACTGTTGGCAAGACAGTCAATCTTCAGACTTGATGGACACACATTAAAATATGAAACCACACATTTAAATATGAAACCGCACATTTACACAGATTCTAACTCACCCATCCTGTGGCCTGTGACATGTGTGTACTAATTAGCTTTTGGCTTACACAGGATGTGTGTATGTGTTTGTTCAACAGTCAATGTTGTGTTGCAGAGACTCATGAGTGTTTTTTTTAGACTTGCAGCCAGGCACTCAAATGAAAGACCAATTGGGTTTGATGCTTTAGTTCAGAAAAAAAAGACAAAATCATTTGGGAGGAGAAGGTAGGGTAGGACAGTAAGAAATAAGCAGGAAGGATAGTGATGGAAAGGCATAAAAAAATGGAGAATGGTACAGACAGTAATCTAGTGAGAATAGAAAATAGAATTTGAGGGAATGAGTCAAAGAAGCTGTTTTTTTCTTTCCTAAAGTGGTATGAGATAAAGGGAGGAATGAACTGAAAAAAAAAAAAAAAGTTATATTTAATTTTTTTCTGCCCTGGGAAAAACCATCTCATACATGTGCACACACATAAGCTTGGATACTCATGCAGAGTTTAACAAACGAGTCTGTGTTTAATTAAATTTAGGACTTTTTTCAGTTTAATTAAATGTTAGGAGCCACATGTTGAATGTTTTTATATGAAACCCCAATACCGTTGCACACTTACTATAAAAAGTCTCATGTTTGTAACACTTGGAACCTTAGGCTACCAGCTACTTGGATCAAAACAAAGACTTTTTACCACCCATAAATTTTAATTAATTTAAGGTCTTCTAATGTTAGATTGCAAAGCATTTTTTGATTTGGAAAGATAAAAAAAGAACTTGTGTCAGAACTTTTTTTTTTTTAAACAAGAAATTACTGTCTGTGCCTGTGTGGGTTTTCTCTGGGTACTCCAGTTTCTTCTCGCATACCAAAAGCATGCATGTAAGGCTGATTGGTAACAGGGGGTGTAACAATACATCGATTTAAATCAATATATTGATTAAATGATTAATGATTCAATTATATTTTGACAAAACTTAAACATCGCTTCATATCGTCATCTTTAAAATACACTTTTATTTTGAAATTCCCAAGGCACATCTGTGTCACCATTTCCGTGCGCGGATGCGCTCTGCGGCTGCCGCAGCAACATGGCAGACGTGGTAGAAAACACAGATAATGAAATTCACTGTCCTGCTGGATTTAAATTGACTGGAAATATTTTTGATTCCAACAGAAAGACGGCTCAACAGACAAAACTCATGTTGTATGCAACAGGTGCCAGTGTGAGTTCAAATACTCAGGAAACAAAACAAATTTGGCCGCTCACCTGAAGAAGAAACACGGCATTGATAGCCATGTTACGTAAGCTCAATATCTATTTTTGTTTCTTTATAACTGAAAGGTAATCAGAGCACTTTTAAGTTAACTGGTTTAAAAAATGCACTTTAACATGAGAAATGTGAGACTGTACTGAACAGGTCATTTATTTTTATTTTTTCATTAAATAAGAAAAAAGTTTTTTTTAATTTATATGCATGGTGCCTTTAATGACATAAATAAAATGGTTAAATCATATTTGATTTGTTTTTGTACATTTATTTATATGTAATGGGATGGGCATTTGATATCGCAATATATCAATTGCAGACTTGTGAATCGGATAGAATCGTATCGTGACAGACTTTGTGATATCGAAAAAAATTGTATCGTCAAACATATCGTATCGTGGTAAAGCTGGTGATTTACACCCCTATTGGTAACTCTAAATTGTCCCTAGGAACTGTATAAGTGAGAGAGTGAATGGTTGTTTGTCTCGTTTGTCTCTATGTGTCCCTGTGATGGACTTGCGACCTGTCCAGGCCCGCCTCTCGCACAGGGACTGCTGAACATGGGAACCAGTGACCCCCGCGACCCCAAAAGGAAGAAGCGAGTAAAGATAATGGATGGATGGTTAGATGGAATTACTACATCTGATATGCATATCTAAATAAACAAAGTTCTTACAAGAATAAATAATCAGATGTCAACTTGCTGTCTTAATTGGTCTTACTTTACACAAGTTTGTCTCCCCACTGAGAGCCTTTGGTTCTAAATGATAACATGCTGGTTTGGATTCTCTTGAACCTCTCACTCTTACTCAGACATTGTAGAGATGTGGGAGCATGACTTTACTATTAATCAGCACACTTTGGCTGAAACAGATGTGATCATATCTGTGGGTCACTGCAGTTAATGAACTTAAAATATGTAAATTGCATTACAGACCTTGTTAAAGATGCAGAATCCATCCTTCACATTAGAAAATAGTCCAAAGTGGAGAAGGCCTTTGTTTTATCCTGGTGGAGGTAATGGAAACCTTGCACATGAGGTGCACACACACACATACACAAAAAAAATAAATAAACCATACACTCACACAAACAGAGTGTCATTACAGAAGGTTGAGACATTGGCACATGTGGATGTTGTCCTGGGAAATCACAGGAACAACATAAGACCTGAGGAATTCTCTGTGTATGTTAGTGTGTTTATAGAAGTAGTGTTGAACAGCCTCACTTTATCTGCGGCACTCATCTTCTTTCTTGTCCTTTATTCTCCTCTTTTCATGGATATTTCACTTAGCAGTTCCCATCTTCATTTGTTGCCTTATGATACCGTTGTCTCTGGTTAGATGGTAAAGGACTGTCATGTTTTATTTTATACGTGGACATAGCTATAATTAAGCTGTGTGCTTTTAATCATACTAGTTATGCTCCACAATGTTGTGCCAGTTACTTCTTACATATGAGCATGTGATGAGAAGTGGTGCCAAATTCTATCTAAGTTAAAGAGCAACATGCAAGATGTCATTGTAATTTACCGTACATGAACACATTTAATGATTTTAAGATTTAATGTGTTGCCAAAGATATTAAAATTTCTTATGGGGTATATTATTGTGTCATATCTTGGTGATATTTCAGTTTTGTGTGCCACTTGGCCCTCTGCTGACTTGTATTACAATATCTATGCAAATGCAAGTGCAAGTCTTTTCTACATAAAAGTCTATTTAAGCAGCCATTGTCCACTGTTTAATGATATTAACTTTATGTAGCTTAAAGAGTACGCCTCAAAGGGCGCTGGAGTGTGAACACAGCATGCAGTATATGTGTGGTAGAAAGCACAGACTTCAACAAAGTCTGTAAGTATAAAAGACAGACATCTCAATTTAATATGGCTTTATTCTCCCTTTGGTCATATTGATTTAGTTTCAGTGAGGCTTACCTGTTAGAATATTAAAGACACACACCATTCAGTTACATGCTGAAAACTCAAGTAGCAATACTGAAAACATCTCGTGGTTCCTGCCTGCCGGTATCTGTTGTCAGAAACACTAGTTCAAAAACACGAAAATCTAAACGCTACAAATTTATATTTTTGTCCTCAACTTTCCTCAGCACCACCTCTCCCATGTGATCTTCTTCCAAAGGTACTCTTGCTGTTATGCTTACCTGAAAAGAAACAGCAACTTCAAATCAGCTTGTAAAAGTGAGGGTTTCTTACCTCTGTGAGCTTAAGTGGGACCAATTTTAGGCTTTGTACATTTGTGATTTTGTCTATTTGTGCTGCAGTGCAGTTCGTGTTTGTGCCATATTGATTGTTGTTTGTACATCAGAAAAAGAGGATGGATCAGTGTAAAATGGAAGAGCAGAGAACAACACACAAAAAAGAGCAACCAAAGATCCAAAGAAGATACACAAAACAAGCCAACTATCAATCTGAGACAGGAGGAGAGATTTATTTAAGCTCTCTGAATCCTCTTTCCTTTTTGATGCTTGTATTCACTGTTTCCTTTGCCCCTTATGAATTCTGAATCATCCATGTAACAAATACTCTTCTCTTGACAGAGTCTTTGAGCACAGTTCTTGTCAGAGATGGAACAGCATTGTTTTTCTTTGGGATGCTATGGTTTTTGTAGACCCATGTTGACCGTGTATCTTATTTGTGTTCCACAGGGCAATCACTTTGGACAATCAGCTTGTTGTCCTGGCAACCACTGCAACAGATGCAGGACGTTACCATGTGGAGGCGGTCAACGAGTTGACAGGGGAGAATGCGACAAGCCCCGCTGTCTACCTGAGCATCTCAGGTAAATAAACTTTTTGACTTGAAATAAAATGTGTACTGTAACTTCAACCAAACTGCTCAGTGAGTGCTGACAACATCTGAATTAGTTTCCACATGTTTCAGTGCCTCAAAGAGGTAAAGATTTATTTTCCAAGAATCTGCTGCTGATCAAAATTTGGGTTCATTTCATTGGGTTTTATTGCTGCTGTTTATTTTTAAGGACTTTAACAATGTTGTTTTTGTTATTGCAAGATTTGAGGTTCTGTATTTTTTAATTGGTCTAAACTTTATCACGTTCACTTAAACACAAAATAAAAGACGCATACATCCAATAAAAGTTTTTTTAGTGACAGTTTAATGCTTTTTGACAGCCTGCAGTAAAGACAGAAGCTGAAAATATGACATTTCTGACAAATTAGAACAGTATCTAAATGGAGCACACAGTCCGTCCATCCATCCATCTTCTACTGCTTATCTGTGTCGGGTCGCAGAGGCAATAGGTCCAGTAGAGAACCCTAGATATCCTTCTCTCCAGCAACACGTTCCAGCTTGTTCTGGGGAACCCCGAGGCGTTTCCAGGCTAGAGAAGAGACACCATCCCTCCAGCGACTTCTGGTTCTTCCCCGGGGCCTCCCACCAGTGGGACATGCCCAGAGAACCTCTAAAGGGAGGCATCTTAATCAGATGCCCAAACCAACATAACTGTCTCTTTTTGATGTGGATGAGCAGCAGCTCTACTCCAACCTCACTCCAGATGACAACACTCCTCACCCTATGTACAAGGCTGATCCTGACCACCTTACGAAGGAAGCGTATTTTGGCCACTTGTATCCAGGATCTCGTTCTTTCAGTCATGATCCAAACTTCATGACCATAATTGAGGGTCAGAATGTAGACAGACCATTAAATCTAGAGCTTTGTCTTTTGTCTCAGTTTTTTCTTCACCATGACTGACCAAAGCTACACTCTCATTACTGAGGATGAGGCCCCAATCCTTCGATCCATCTCCCTCTCCACTCTCTCACTTGTGAGACAGACATCCAGAGACTTGAACTCCTCCGCCTGGGGCAGTCTCCCCCATGACCTGGACGGGGCATTCCACCCAGTGTTGTTTGTAAATCTAAGTAGTTCAGATATTGAAAGTCCTGAACCTTAGAGTAGAAATGAACTCTGTTTAATTGGGCTTCAGTTGAACTTGTTTACTCTTTCTGTGTAGTGCCCTGAGACAACTTCTGGTTTGATTTGGCCCCAAACTGAATAAATCGGATTGAGCTGAGGCTGATTAGATGCTTGAATTATTGATAACTTAAGTAAAAATCAACTCCAAGAATCAACACTTGCAAATAAAATAGAGCAGAAAGAGGAATTTATAAAACTAACATTACCGCTCAGCTGTTTGTTTAACTAGAAATAAACATGATCAGTGAGCGCTGACTGATATAAATAAGTGATGTACCACAAATATTTATACTTTCAAAAACAATTGCTACAATATTTGACAATTTTTTGTGACCAATTGGCCTGAACAAGTCATCATTGTGAAGAATGACTTCAAACACAACAGAGGTGACTTGGCCCTGTAATTTTCACCATTGCAGCTTTGTTACAACATTATTGTTTAAAGTGAAACATTGACTCCATCTCCTCTGCTGGTGCAGACTTGGAGGTTTTGTAAGGACTGTGATGTCGGTGCACAATGAAGTCACATCAGGCACTGCTTAAAAGCTTCAACATAGTTTTCAAGCCATTAAGATTTTGTCAACACACACAGACTTGTATACATAATGTAGTGCCAGCTATGCCACTGCGTTTCAATTACAGGTCTGTAGATTCACACTCAAGTCCAAAAGGTGGCGATAATTCAAACCGTCAGGTTGAGCAAATGATGGACCATGAAGGAACTGAGGTGTTTCGTAAGAAGAGCTAATTTTTAAATGGGTTGGTATAGGTGTGACAGTATGCATTAGTCATGGTTTGGTAGGTACCACAGTTTGGTATGCGTTTGATACGTCAGGTAAAACAAACAAGGTCAAATGCTATTTTTAGATTACTGCCAAACCCTCAGATTCACAGTGCTGATTTGTAACAAAACCTGCAGGTTTTTAAGATGCTTGTGACATCTAAATAAGACATTTTTGGTTTGTTTTGGTGTAGAAAGAGTTGAATTGTATTTTCCTTTTCTGTTTTGGCACTTTCCAAAAGCAATTGAAACAAAACTTTTGGTATATACTGTCTTGTAAGTATTTGACTAACTTATTCTTTGTCTTATTGCACTAACCAAATACTGACACCTGTATTGTGAAAGTTTGGCACAAATGCACATATTGTTACACTTCATAGTGTTTGGTCCATGTTGTTGTTATAGACTTCAGTGTGTCTGTTTCTTCAGGAAGAGCACTTCTGCTTGCATTTTTAACAGACTTTTTTCTTTGAAAAAGTAACGGATAAAAAATAACTTTATCCCAGATCTTAGTCAATGAGGTAATCCAAGTTGTTATTGACAAACAACTTTGTGCTTATTTTAGAGAAAATCCACCTTAGTCAAGGATATTTGAAAATTTGCAGTCTAAATTTGAGCCCGAGTGTGCGTCCTTGCTTCTGTCTGGTCGTTTTGTTTTCCACTTCACTCTTGGAGAATCACTTTAATTCTCTGTGCGTCTCTCTATCTGTTCCCCTCGGAGGCTCGAGGATTGACTCCACTGTCTAACGGTCCTTCAGCTGAAGCGCTCACTATAGTTAAACGAGAGTGAAACGGAGGGTGGGTTCTGGGAGGGGGGCACTCTTTCCCTTGTGGCTGTATAGTGTTTTAATTAGATTCTCTTTACGGGGTTGTATCCTTTGGCATCCTGGCTAACAAATGTACACATACAGAAACACACACAATCCCATAAATATAGACACAGCACCTTGTTACAGCTGTCAGCGTGAAGTGCTCCCCTGGGCATTTTTAGGAATGTTAAGGGTATAGTTAGGCTTCACTGATCAGTCCTGGGCCATAAACATCTGTGTGGTGTGTGTTTGTTTTAGTTTTGTGTGTGTGTGTGTGTGTGTGTGTGTGTGTGTGTGTGTGTGTGTGTTACAACAAACATTTCCTGAAAAAATATCCATGGTTGAGTAAAGTGGGTTTTTTTTTCTACTTTTTGCTGTTAGACTAGGTGGAAAAAAGGAACAAGGAATTAAATAAAAAAACGGGGGACAAAACAATAAGATAAATGATGAATAAGGAAATAAAAAATAATGTATAAGCGACAGATGTGTTTTTTAATCAGTCTGTTCTTTGAAAGTTACAACAGTTTAATGGCTAGTTGGCTGGTGTTTGACAGCAGGTGAAAATGTGTGTACATGCAACATCAATAACACAGGACACCTCAATGTTTTATGTGTACTTAGTGTATTGTACAACTGGCTTATACTTGTATAGTTGGCCTATAAGTGTAAGGAGATCTGCAAATGTTTACCATATTTTTCACTGTCCTGTAAGTCGAATCAGTTCAAATATGTCTAAAAAAGTGGAAAAATCCATAAATATGTCACTTTGCTGTATACGTCCCATGTATTATGTGTCATTACTGACGCTTCGTGTTTGTTACACGTCACTGCTGACAGCCTGGACATGTGGGCCGGTGTTGTGCCAAAAATCAATGGGCTACCAAATGGTGGCAGCTGGAGCGTGCACGTTCGTGCACGAACGTGCCACGTTTACCCATTACATGATACAACATGCATTACTGTTATTACTACTCTGCTTCTATCTAGTGGCAAAAAATGGTACTGTTCAACAGTTGTTTTGTTTTTTTCAGTCAGAATAAATGAAAACAGTCATATTTCAGCCAAAAAAAAGGTTTATAAATATGGGAAAAAAAATCCATAAATATGTCACTTTGGCCTATAAGTCGCAGGGCATGTAAATTATGCAAAACGAAATGTGACTTATAGGCTGAAAAATACGGTACTAAAAAAAAATGTTGGATCCTGCAATTAACTCGATGATGTTGTATCTGACTGACCCAGACAAATACACTCCATCGAAAGACGAGCTGGATTCCAATCCAGACCTTAAAGTCCTCTTTCAGCTGCGCAAACAGCTGAAACTAGTTAAAGGCATCCTAACTTTTGCTCATGGACGGACGTCCTCACCAGTGTTCGTGGTCCCCCATGACCACAGGGGGGTGATGTTAGTCCATGCACATGACCTTCCGTCCGCAGGACATAAGGGTGACAATGCCACGCTGAAAGCATTGAAACAGATTGCTTATTGGCCTGGAATGAAAAAGGATGTCAAAGACTACATAAAAGGGTGCCTGATCTGTGGCCAGTTTCAACCATCCAGACCACTTCACAGAGCACCACTGCATAGTAGAGGCATTGCATTTCCATGGTCGGACCTCCAGATTGACTGGGTCGGACCACTCACTAAGACCTCTAGAGGAAATAAATATTTTCTCACGGTAACCTGCGCGTTTACCAAATGGGTAGAATGTCTACCAGCCCCTAATGACACAGCACAAACCACTGCTATGTTGTTAATGAATCATGTATTTTCAAGGTTTGGACTTCCCCTTAGGGTGAACTCAGACCAAGGTACACACTTCACAGGTGAAGTAATGAAGGAACTGTGGAAGACGCTAGGCGTCAAAGCCAACTTCCATATTGGCTACCACCCACAGGCTTCAGGCCAGGTTGAGAGAGCAAACAGGACTGTGGTGAGTATTTTGAAAAAATACGTAGCCGCAAACCACAAGGACTGGGACGTGAAACTCCCTCTGGTCCTCATGGCCATAAGGGCCACTCCACACACGTCGACTGGCATCGCTCCTTTCGAGATGATGACGGGTCGACAAATGACTCTCCCTCTGCACCTGTTGTACCAACCAGGCGATGCTGCCATGGCAACAGCCTACACCACACAACAATACATGAAAGACTTGGAAAGACACCTTAAAAACACTTTTGCTTTCGCACAGAAAAACCTGGAAAAATCAGCTGAAGGACGCAAAGCGTACTACGACCAAAAGGCCTCTC